CCTTTTAAGGGTCATTTATTAAACCATGTTATTGTTTGTATCAAAAGACTGTTTACATGCATGATTAAGCTTGGGACTTGCAACCGGTTAACTATTGTTCAGTTGCTTTCAGAATATCATTATTATAAACATGTTAAATTATATACTATAGTATATTCGGAATTGTTCTTACACGCACACACACATATGTACACATGTGGGTTTGTGTCTAGTAACGGAAATGGAATTTTGCAGTCGTAACACACACAAGTTTCCGGTGTTGTCTCGCATTTTGTGATTTTCACTGATTAAACGACGCGTACGAGACAGTCGCTCTTATAGGATTAGCATTTCACAAACAAATCGACTGACAAAGGTTGACAGTTGACACACGCACACACACACACACACCTACACGCACACACACACACACATACGTACACTTGCATACAGTCAGCCAGTTGGTAGATTTTGCGATTCTTCATTTGAGGCAAACCCATAATATCATGCTTTTGATATTTACATAGAAATATTTGATGTTTATAATGATGGAACTCTTAAAATACACACACACACACATGGACACACGCCCACATGTGTAACACTCGATGACATTTTGTCACATTTATAGCTGAATATGCTAGAGAGAAAAACCCTCGATTATTCCACATTCAAATATCGAAAAATGTATTTGTGTTTGGCTAAAATCAAGGTTGCATTTGAATCAAGTTGAACCAGCCAAAGTGATTCGTTTTATGCCCTGAAACCGTTGAGTATGGTTTGGAAGGGTATATTGGCTGTGTGGAAATGTATGTAACAGGCAGAGGGACGCTTCTTCGAAGGAAGCATCTCCTATAAATATATATATTCTTTATCTGCATCAACAGCCGAGTCGATTGACTGCCCGAGGAGAACTCTGCTTTCTGAACATGGCAAACTTTCCAGTTTTATTCAGAGCATATATCGAAGCTAGTATGAAAGCTTTTGTATAGATACACAGATCCAGAATCCATTATATATATTGGATACATCCCCCCGTTCTTCACAAATTGGACTTGCGGTCTTAATATTTACACAAATTTGGTTGCATATATATGCCCTTAAAAAGAGATCAGGAAATAAACGCCCAAGTTCCCAGAGTGTGGGATTAATGGAAGAAGCACAGCAGCAACATGCATGCTTGTGTATGTCTGCTTTGCTGTAGCTGGAGGCTTAGGGTAAAGGGGCTTAGGGTATATCCCAGCGCGGACTCCTAACTGGAGCACTTTTTTGTTATTTTTTTTGCCTTTTAGAGGATATTTCCCACTTTCAGCCCGTTTCAGGCATCTCTCAGTTGTTGTTTGCTCTTGCAGTTTCGAATTTCATTACAATTTTTCTTTTGTTCCGCAGCGCGTCATGCGCTGAGCGGAAATAGCAAGCCAAATCCTCCACTGCCGCGCACCTGCCTCTAACCGGCAAGCAAAACAAAAAGCCAGGCAGCAAATAAATGAAAACAGTTTCCAGCCAGAACAACCAGGTGAGGCGCTGTGTTGCTGCTTGTGTGGGCAGGTGCTTTATAAAGAGACAAACAGTGGCAGCAGCAGCAAATGCAACCTCAACCGGGCATCGATGGCAAGCTGATAAATAAAGAATTTCAATTAGTGGCAAAAACTTGATTCGGTCTGAAATGCATTTCAGCCCAGCAAAGGAATGAGTCTTTTGAAAAAGGGGTTTTTTGTTGGTATAAAAGCTTTTTGTGTGTGTGCTCGATAAAATTTCCCTATAAAAAATATACATAAATAAAGTTGAATGAAAGCTCAAAGTTACACCGACAGCTTTCGAAGCTCGACTTCCTTAAAGAAAGCTTAACCGTTTACAGCTTGTCTTCCTTTTGGAAAGCTTTACAGTTTAGGCTTTCAGCCGTGTCCTCGTGCTGTTAAAAATAACGGCAATATAACAGCATCGAATGCTGTTAAAGATAACAGCAATATAAGAGTAACGCTATAGAACAGTTCGATTTTCGGACAAGTCGAGTCACTTCTCTTGGGACATTTGAAAGCTATCTAGTATAACAGTTTTTCATATCTAGACGATTGTTCGAAAACCGTTAAAAGCAGTTTCGAAAGTACGTTTAAAGTAACAGTAATTTTGTTAACATTAATTTGGTTAACAGTAACATGTTATAACTGCACTTCATTCCAATGGGCTGCAAAATATGAGTTTTATTCTTTTACTTATTCTTTTTGTAATTACCATATCCATGAATGTTAAAGAAAAGGGTTGTATATCATTTTTTAAATATTTTCTTTCATTTGCCAAGAATCGGCCTGCAATTTTGGCTATAACTCAAAAGTTATGGTTCGAAATAGGGTATTTATTGCAATGATTTAAATGTATACAAGAAAACGCATTTCCCGGCCCATAAAGTTTAGATATTTTTGATCAGTATCAATAGCCGATTCTAGCTAAGTAAATACTTTCTGTGAAAGTCTTAATCTCAGAGTCAGTACGAGGAAGGAAGTAAAGTTGGAACATAAAAATCTTCACATATTATCAAAGCTTATCTCCGCATTTGGACAATTTAGTTGTCAAAGTTTGTTTTCAAAACATAATCAACTGAGCAAAAATAGAGATATCTGTCTACTTAACAAACTAAGAGTCGGTCTGATAAGCGAGAGGTCGCTAGTTCAAATCAGGCAGAACATTTTAATTATCCAACAATCAATATAAATTTATTACAAGTTAAGTATGTAGATTATTATTATTTTAGGTAATACTCCAAGAACAGCATGATTTTTGCTTAAAAAAATATGCGTAGATATAAATAGGAGAATATTTTTTGAGGCAGAAGTAACTAGGTACAGGGTAAATCCTAGTCCGGGATTTCTTCTTATAGCATCTTCTTTTTGGGCTATTTTTTAATTTGTAGTTTGCAGTGCAATAACAGCTCAATTATTTGAACAATAGCCATGTTCATCAAACGTAATTTTGTATTATATTAAGATACTTTTATATATACACATATATTTTTCTATTTTTCAGAGTCGGTCTTTATTCTGTCTTCTGCTTGTGCTGTGGTCGGTGTCGCAGTTCAAATGCTTGCCGTTTGTTTCTATAAAATTAAAAAGTTTTGCCGCTCCTGCTGCGCTGTAATCTTTATAGACGCTGCCAACAAGTTGGGTATGGGGATATTGCGGGTTGGGTTTTGCAGGGGAGGGGCAGCAACGTGTTTTACCAGCAACAATTGCTTGTTGATTTGGCTGTCGCGCCCAGCGCGTTGTCTTGCGCTAAACTTTTGGCAGGGTCGAGGAACGGACCCAAGCCGACGGCGACGGCGACGGCGACTGTGAGTGCGATTCGAAACGGTCCAGACAGCCTGTTGGGCTGCCAAAGACAATTTACGACAGGACGAAGGACTTCTACAAATTATCGAGTGACAAAAAAAGAAATTGCAGATAGAAAACGTTGCAGTTTCTGTGTAGACAAAAAACTTTTTCTGTGGCCAGTTCGGTCGCTCCGATAAGAAATAATTTATTTCTTATGGCGTGCGGTCAGCTGCCCTGGCAAGGTGAGAACAGGTGAGGTGTTACGACAAATTGAATGCGGCCCCGCAGCTTAAAGCTGCCATATACCTAGGCATAATTTCTGCTAAAAAAATTACACTCCAGTGGTCAAAGGTTGTATGAAACACATAATCAAAGAGGCTGTAATAGGTCTGCTTTGCAAACTAAGAGTCGAACTGACAAGCGAGAGGTTGCTGGTTCAAATCAATCAAAATATGTCAAACATCGGTATTTTCTTCTATTTGTCTGTTATCTATGAGAAGAAAACTAAGCATAAATGTTGAAATGGAGACAATGTATATTACAATGAGAATTAAGTTATTTTGAACATATTTGAAGCTATGTTTTCTTAATTAAACAGCATTAAATAAATCAATTACAATGAATCGGTTGCATAAGAAAGGTTAATTAGTTATTGATTAAATGTAAATGTAACATATTTTTTACATTCGGAAACTCCTTGAGATTTCCAATATTCCAATTATGTTTGGCTTTTATTTTCTGCAATTTTCTTTCATCCTCATTTCTGGATCGGATCTAACGCTGGTATACACAGCACAATTACTATATGTATATCTGTGCTATATATATTTATGCTGTATGCTTTAAGGGCAGCTGCAACGCAAAGTTGACTGCGACTGGCAGCTCTCTCACTTGCACTCGCACAGAGTTGGCCCTGTCTACGGCGCTGTGTCCCTCCTCTATCTCTGTGTCTCTGTCTCCGGCTTGGTGCCAGGATATGTGTAGGATGTCATATGAAAGCCACAAGGTTGTGCGCTAGTCGACAGTTGAAAGTCGCAATGACATTTCAAATTTACGGACTATGACAAAGTGAGTTAAATGCATTTTGAAAAATGCTCGGACTACGACGAATTGAAAAGAAAATCTTATAACGTTGATAAAGTGGGGCAAGCTGCATGAAATGGTTGAAGAAGTGCTTTTAAAGTGGCCCCAAACTATTCATATGCATATTCTCTTAATCCGTATTCATTAGAGCCCTCCCGTCCTTCACCTCAACGTGTACTCAGCAAGTTTTAATAGAAACATATTGAACTTCTCTTATTTGATTTTAGTATTAAAGTCAAGAGATCAAAGCCCCGTGCAGCTGAAGGTTTATTATAATATATTTTACTATAGTCGCAGAGCATTTTTTTACATTCGTGTAATCTCAATAAAATCGGCAACTAGCGTATGATATATAACATATTCACATTAAGGCCCGTAGGCTAATTTTAATACTTGTTTGATTTTTCTAATAAATATGTATGATACGAATTTTTATTTTTGGTAATTTTTCATTTGATCTTGCTTTAGTCTCAGCTATTGTCGTCTTAAGCAGTAAACTAGTTTCCAATGAATATCGCCACGAATTAAAACTATTCAAAATACATAGTTCATTTTAGGGGCCTCAAAACTTGTTATTCAGACGCTGAACATGAAGTTCCTTATTAAAAATGCTGACCCTGAAATCGCCCACAGTCGATTCGGAAGCTGCGGCCGTGCGAAATGCAAATTTGTTTTAAAACTTTGATATAAATACGCGTCCACTTGGCTGATGTTAGTATAGTTACCTTTGATACCTCAAACGCGCAACACAAAAACCTAAAAATGAAATTCCTGATCGTCTTCGTTGCGCTCTTCGCCGTCGCCCTGGCCGCACCCGGAGATTCTGAAGCACAAGTTTTGCGCAGCGATTCCGATGTTGGACCCGAATCCTTCAACTACGCGTAATTATTAACCCTTAAGACTGGCTACCGTCCAGCATTTGCTAATCCTTTGTCTTTTTACGCTACAGCTACGAGACATCAAATGGAATTAGCGAGCAAGCAGCAGGTCAGCTGAAGAACATTGGCTCAGAGAATGAGGCTATTGCCGTCCAGGGTTCCTACTCCTTCGTTGCCGATGATGGTCAGACCTACACAATCAACTACGTTGCCGACGAGAACGGTTTCCAGCCCCAGGGCGCTCATTTGCCCGTCGCACCCGAAGCTTAAGAAGCGATGTTAAAACTTAAATAAATTGAATGTTGATCTAAAGTTTTTGTGTTTTCATATGCAAACAGACAAAAGCAGCTCATCGATCTGGGAAAGAGCACGCTACAGTTCTACTAACTCATTTGATTTTCAATTTTTCCCAGTTTGGTCTACTTAGTTTATAGTATCTTCTTGAGGAACACATCTGGATGAGTGGATAGACATTAGCATACGTACATGATTATGTCTATGTGCTGAATATCTTGACAAGGCCCTTTTAGCTGCGTTGCATGTTCTGCTGCATCTGTTATGCCTGGGGCTGCGGCATGTTGTTGCAGTTTATTGTTGGCTTGCAAAAGTTATTCATACGCCACGTTCACAATAGTAGTAAATGTAATTTATGTTGGCAAAACATTGCGTAAGTGCATCTGCTGTAAAATTCAAGTAGATGCCACCAGCCTCAGACTAAGGCGAAAACGCTGCCAACTGCCAACTGGCGGTTGGCGTTTATATAAAAGTGTTGCCGCACAAAAATGGCAGAGAATTCAATAAAATTTTCATGCAATATTTGCAGATGCACGCAAAAAGAACCTCATAGACCCATCCAACAATGTCGTTCATAGCAAGAGCCCCGCCTTGAGTTCGTGGCAGATTAAGTGAATTCTCTTTATAGACCCTTTGCGTTTGGCTTCCATAAGTCCATAAACGGGCTTGACAGAACGTGCTTAAGGCCGTTTGTGTCCGTTGCGGATCAATCTACCGACTAAGTAAATGCTGGCTAAAATAACATACTTCAATTAAAAAATATTTTTTCTAATATTTCTCTATTCTATTCGATTTCTATATTTCTCATTCACGAGGGTTCGATCCTTGCCTATTTAAATTGAAATTTTTACAATGAGCACTAAAATGGAGTTTCGGGAAAAATCTTGCCACTAAATTGGAGAAATTATATATAACTACGTACACATTTCTTGGTTCTCGACCTCTTCAAAGTCAATTTAAATTATCTTTCTCAGAATTCAATGAAGACGTGTTTTTTTTAACTTTTTGTTAAAAAAATAAAACAGCATCTTTTGTAAAAAGTTGGGGTATGGAACATAAAAGACAGTTAAATTTGTGGGCAAAACTCAGTTTTCAAATAAAATATAGTAAAATTGACGAAAATTACGATTCTTTTGCAATTAAATGAGGTCGAAAAATGGCAGAAAAATATTTATAATCTTCAACGAAAAGGACGTTGCCTTCTACAAAGCCATGCAATACTTGCCGCATATTGATAATAATTAATAAAATTAAAAATATAACAAATTGTAGTTAAGTAAATTTTTTGAAGCTATAGACAAATGTTCAGCTGGCGCAAAATCTGCACGAAATCGTTCGTTTTCGATAAAAGAAAACGAAATTGAAAACACAAACCTTAATAATATATTCGACAAAGATGCCGCAGAGACCAGTCAAACAGCTATTGGCAAAGCCGTAACCTTGGCCGGTCTAGATCTGGGCCCGGGCTTGAGTCTGGTCAAGATCAAGCGGCGTGTGCGGGGTTGTCAACCGGCGGCGCAGCAAGTGAGACGCATCTGCTTAAATCTATGTATCTATCTGCTCGTCTCTACGCATCTATGCTAGCTGAAAGTGATAGTGGCTATCACATACACAAACTATATATATAAATATATATATAGAGTTTAACATAGGCAGGCATAAGACCGGGCATCTGGAGGTGTAAACTGCCAGCGATAATGGATAAACATGTTTCAAGAACTTCGGATAGTTGCTAATTGGATTTAGAACTCAATACTTGTGAGAAGCAGAGAGAGTATAAATAAAGTTGAGGAAATCAAGAGTCACCGCAAATAATTCATATAGTTTATGTATATCAAAACATATTTTTTACTATCTATACATATATATATATATATATATATGTAGATTATGTAAATGGGTTGCCGAATTTGAATTCATTTGTCGTCTGCACGTCTTCGCCTTGTGACGTTTTTAATCAACGCAAAACATAAGACCCACTATAACAAGTTTTATCATTTCATTAGTTTTATACTTTTTTGCCACTCAATATGAAACGATAAACTAGTTTTATCCAATACGAATTTGTTGCAAGCTTTGATATAAATACGCGTCCACTTAGCTGATATTAGTATAGTTACCTTTGATACCTCAAACGCGCAACACAAAAACCTAAAAATGAAATTCCTGATCGTCTTCGTTGCGCTCTTCGCCGTCGCCCTGGCCGCACCCGCAGGTCCTGAAGTACAAATTGTGCGCAGCGATTCCGATGTTGGACCCGAATCATTCAAATACGGGTAATTATTAACCCTTAAGACTGGCTACCGTCCAGCATTTGCTAATCCTTTGTCTTTGATGCCACAGCTGGGAGACATCCGATGGCAGTTCGGCACAGGCAGAAGGTCAGCTAAACAACATTGGCTCAGAAAATGAGTCTCTTGCCGTCCGCGGCTCATTCTCCTACATTGGCGATGATGGTCAGACCTACCAGGTCAACTATGTTGCCGATGAGAATGGTTTCCAGCCCCAGGGCGCTCATTTGCCCGTCGCACCCGTAGCTTAAGAAGCGATATTAAAGCTTAAATAAATTTAATGTTGATCTAAAGTTTTTGTTTTGTCTATTTGGGAGGAGGGAGTAGCTCGTCGATCGAGGAAAAAGCGCTTACACTATTCGTTTTTTTCTATATTCTTTGCTATCGCAATTTTTTTTTAATTTCGGTAGTACAACAAATATTTAGTCTTATTAGTACGCAAGCGTGAACTAAATATTCATCTCTACCTTATGTAGAACCATTTTCATAATATAGATAAATATCGATTTTGAGAAAAGTTGTTTTGAGCACAACTCGAGGAATATAAGAGCTAGATACACCAAATTTTGCATGTCGATTATTGAATAGCATATAGATTTTCATAATATCTCATATGTTGAATACCTTCCCACGTCAACCGCAAAATTGTAAGAAACTCATATAGTCTTTGTCTTTGATATTCATATGCATTTGTATGCCCTTCAAGACTTCAAAAAGATCGGACTATAAATACCGAAGTTAATCCAGAATGCATATCCTCTACATAGAGTGGGGGACACTTTTTCGTGTACTTTACTAAATTTGTAACTTTTTAAACATATTTTGGGTAATATTTGTAGATTTTAAGATTGATTGAAGTGCCTCAACGTGGTCAAAACGTGCCCAGTTTGAGGCCAATTTACCAATGTTTAGCCACAAAGAGCCAGACAACTTTTGCAGGCAACATTTCATTTAAAACATATATACATATACACTAAATAGATATGTATATATATACCTATATTATATATATTTTGCACACATCCCAAAAACGGAATGCTCTAAGTGTAATTTATGCGCGCACACACACACACACACACACACACACACATGTATATATTCATGCTGTGTATGTGAGAGCGAGAGGAAGAAAATTGGTGAAAATGTGTAACGTTGACCTGACGCCATTTCTGTTGAAGGCTGAAGCTTTGTGGGCCTGTCTACAGTTAGGTGGAGGTTCGTTGGGGAGAGGGGAGGGGGGGGGAGTGTTTGCTGCCAGGGCGCTTGACGCTTTTCATTTTTCTGTTTTTGGGCTAAAATACCAAATTACGGCATAAATAATGCATAGATAACGAAATTTATTACATTTCATGCATCAGCCCGACTACACAGAGAGAGAGAGCCTGGACAGCCAGCCAGCCAGCTAGCGAGACTCGAGCCAGCGGACAGCACAAACAGAGCCACCCACTGGGTAAACTCGACACGTCCGGACACATCAGACGGCCTGGAAAAGGCGGCAAATGTTTAACGGATGTCGCTCTGTCGCCTTCTAATTTATGGCTCATATAAGTTGCTCTGATTAGCCACTGCCGGCAATTTTTATCTACAGCCAACAAGTATTCCTCTTGTATGTATATCCAATAGGTGAGAGTTTATGCATTGCTTTTAAATTCGAAGAATGTCTATATATGCCAACAATAACAAGATTCCAATAACTCGACGCCAGCTGAAAGGATGTGCTTATTTATGTTATGAAAATAAAGTTACCCGAAAAAAAATGAGGAAGCAAAAACAGAGAAGTTTGAGCTGCCGAAGCTTCAATACCCTAGCAGACTCTTAGAAGAAGGTGTGAGGTATTATACTATATCAGAAGGGAGACAAGTGGGAGATACCGGGTGTAGAAGAAGTAGAAGATACCCTGTATGACAAGCTATTGTAGCAGTGTAGCCTCCTTCTAGACAAACATACCCAAAAAAAACCCCATACAAGCTTTGGAAAATCCATTCTTGATTAACTTCTGTGCTTATAGTCCGATCTCTTTGAAATTTTCATGGAATACATATGCCATCCAATCCTATATGAATACCAAAGACAAATACTATATCACCCAAAATGAGTTTCTTACAATTTTGCGGGGTACGGGGGAGGTATTCAACATGTGAAATAAATTTAAAATCTATATACAGTTCGATCTACATATATACATTATGTATATCTAGCTGTTATTTTTTTCGAGTTATGCTTGAAAAATTTTATCTCAAAATCAATATATATCGTATTTATGAAAATAAGAGGAGATATCGAAAAGTTATGGACTTATTCTGTAAATAATTCCTATAGAAACTTTATGATATAGAAACTTTCTATATACTATAGTATAGATATAGTAAAGTATTACAATGTTGACAGGAATTTATCTTAGGAGCACAGAGAAGCAACAAAGCTTTTCATAACAGAACTCATGATTCAGCCGATAGTTCCCAAGCGATAGGATCGCTTTTTAATAGCGATATATAGACAGACTCTAGATAGCAAAACTAGTTGCTCAGACTGGACTATTTAAGTACATCGACGATATCTCATTTGATTCATGTTACAAACTGCTTGATATAGTTGTCATACCCTGCAATCAACTTAGTGTATAGCCAGTCAGAAATGTTGTGGTCTGCGCTGTCGCTTCAGTTGTTGCCGATGCGCGTCTGATATGTGTCTTGCTCATATCGTGAGGGAGTTGCTCATAATTGCATTTGCATATTATTTCCCTTTATTGCAAATGTCGCCCTGTTTGACATGACTTCAGTTTTGCTTAGGGGTTGGGCAACTAAAAACTTCGTAACGCCATTTTGGTTATTTTCCACTTCCGCTGATGCTGCTGTTGCTGCTGCTGCTGCTGCTGGTTCTACTCAGTGGGGTGTTTATTAAATGGCGCATGCTTGCGGCGGTAATATAAAAAAGATTAAAAAACAAACCACAAACAAAAAAACGAAACAAAGAGTTAAAAGTTAAGCGTAGCTGCTGAGAAATTATAACGAAACAATTTGCATATAAATTAGGACCAACAGCGAGGTGTCAAATTGTCTGGAGTGCGAACTGGTATCGAAACAACTCAAACAAGTTCCCATCCGAAATACAATACAATTTGTCTAATGCGTTGGATGATATTATAAATCCGATGACACAATAATAAACACGACCTGTCAACGAGATCGATCAGCTGAAGGCAATCAATTTTTTGAATTTAAGAGGCATGCAAAGATATAATATAATATACAAAAAGAAGTTCGCTGTGCATAAGATCTTGTGTTATATTTAAGGCAAATTTATTTGTGGATTCGGTTTACGGCTTGAATTAAGTAACTCAAGCTTCGGATTGTGAAGGGAGTTTAGAAAATGCATGAAAACATTTTCTTTCAAAAGGGTATTGTTCTATCTTTTTAAACCACTATAATAACGAGAAAGAAATTATATCTACGGAACGCAGAAGGTTTTATTCCCCAGTTTGGCAGATATGTGCGGGTAAAGTTCGTAATTTTATGACAAAATTACAATACCCTCGACAAGGGTATCAAAATTGCTGAACTTTAACAGTTGTAATATTTATATGACGAACTTTACATAAGGACAAACACAGTTTTCAGAAGCTTGACTATCTGTATCTCGCGTCAAGTTACCAAGGTTTACAGCAGGCGAATGTGTAAAATTGGAAAGTTCAACTGGCAACTTAATAGGGTCTTCAATGAAACGGAAATCGCAAACGAAAAACAAATAGTTTGTCAAGTATCCAAAATCATTTTGGCAACCATTTTATGGTCGTGCTCGTATATTGCGATGACTGCAGTGTCAATACTCGTAAAAAGCCGGATAAATGGATAGGTAAGGATGAAGCACCAGCAGCAGCAGCAGAGGCAGCAGCAACAGTTAAGCATAAAAGCCAGTCTCGTAATATCCTGCACAATTGTCAGTTTTACTCATTGCTTTATTGTTATTGCCATACCCTTGGCCTTAGCTTCGACAGCCCCCAAATCCCAGCCACACACCCTGCCAGGCAGGTAAACAATGCTAATGCATACTTTGACTTTGACAAGAAGCGAAGAGGTAGCTGAGCTAAAGAGAGAGCTGCACTCAAATCTGGCCGGGCTGAGCCATATTGGGTTTAGACTTATGGTTGTCGCTGCTCGTGAGCATTTGGTTCTGGGGATTTTTGGCTGTCGATTCGTCGATTCGCCTTGGATTATTTCTAGGATAAACGTTGCACATGGTTGTCCCCCTTTTTCTTGTTTTTGCGTTCGCAACAATCGAATATAAAATGAATTTACCTTTTGTTGATGTTGTGAAAGACTTTTGCTTATTGGCTTTTGGCTCTTACCTCTATTATACGAACACTCTCTCGTGTAGCTCGCTTTCACGGATTTCGATTGAGCTTAAGACAAATGCAAATATTATTGGAACGCACTACGGTTCGTGTGTATGTAGGGCGCCCCCCTTCACACAAGCTTGCCTCATATGATGAATGATTATGTGCTGCCTCTTGATTTGTTGCCGCTGATAAACTCAATTTGTAATTTGGGGCCTCAGCAGCAGCAGCAGCAGCAGCAGCAGCTGTGTGTCAATTTGGGGGGCGAGGAGGGGGCGGGTGTATCATATTGCGCATACGCCGCGTACGTCGGCGGATTGGAAGACGCTTTTTATTGTCAAAGTTTTGCGAGTGCCGGCAGCTCAAGTTGTAACTTGATTTTATGTCACTTTACAACACTGCATTTGAAGTGCCTTCTCAACATAGTGCGCAATTCGCCTTTGTGCAACAACTTGGCTTTTAAAATTTGTTGCTTCTTAACGTGCGCTTTATTTATACACTCAGAGAATAAGGCTCGTTTTAAGTTGAAGTATTTTAAGAGTAGCTCAGGCTTTGACTTTAGCCCAAACATTTTAAATATTTCGACAATTTCGAGGCTTAAATAAATCAGATAAATGAGTGCTAAGTGCAAGTTTTTACCTTTAATACTTTCTCTAATTTTTCTTGGAATTTGATACAGTGAAAACTCTTCTAACGTACATTACTCTTGGGAGGACAGTTTTTCTGCCTATCTCTCCCTGACACTTATGTAAACGTCTGGCAACCTCGTCGCATGATAATTATGATTTACGAATAAGGATAAATGTAAGGAACACGAAAGTGGAAAGTTAAGCAGCAAGCGAACAAGTGAAGAAGGAAGTTAATACTTAAAATTATAAATATCTAAGCAACTATTTGTAACGTGAACGACATTAAACTATTCTTTCTATTAACAATGTTTGTACAAGCTAAGATCACTGAGTTAACCTGGTTCTTACCCCGCTTTCTTGGGTGGACCAAAACTACCCAACGATCTCTGCCTATGTATACTATACAAGAATCTACAAACTAACTTTGGTATATGTATCTAGATATAGATCTGTTGTCCAGCTCTGATAACTCTCTAGTTAAGCAGAAATAAAACCAAGGCTAAACATCGAAATATATCGATAAAATGAAAATGGGGTATCATATCTCGCTTGCACATAAAGCAATTTCAACTTTTACTGGATTATAGTGTAATATATTTCAGAGTTAATAAATGTAAAGATATGTATATAATACCAGTTACATTATGTTTATTAAACATCGTCTAGCATGTTTTCTTTTTTTCAACGTTTACCTGCATTTTTATACAGTGTTTATTTAAACTTAATTTAAGAGATGCATTTAGCATATTGCACACAAATTGTTGAATGCAATTTCGCACGCAGGTGTTGGCGGAAATGTGTCTTGGATCTTATGACTTACAAGAGGGCTGTGTGCTGTCAGAAATGGGCGTGGCATGTGCTGCCACTAAGGAAATTGGCAGCAGTTGGGCAGTAAGTAACCAATAAGAGTCCGTAGTGCGCGACTTATAGTTAAACCATCGAGTTTTGGAGCTCAATAGATACCCATTGCCATACCAAAGCCATATTGGTATATCAAAGTCGCAGACAGACAAATTAAAGACAAATCAGTTTCGCTTTATTTATTTATATGTATACATAATTAAAACTATTTTAATGTGTGCAGTTTTTCTCAATGTTCTAATACCTTGTGCCTGTGCAATTTATGCAGGGTATAAGAAGTGCACTTGAGGAAATTAAAAATTGTATTCAAATGCCATGCACGAGCGTAAAAATTAATATCCGCTCTTGTTACCCATTGTCGGGCCATGCGGCAGCTTAGTTGTAGGGTAAAATCTCTTAAGGTGCGTGTCAAGACAATTTTTAATTTCAGTTCGCATTCTGCTTCTTTGTTTTGCAGCCAGGCATAAAAGAATCGCAGCTGAACGCAGTAAAATCTGCTGCTCTTTGAAGCATGACACGATTGTTGTTCATATGTTAATACATAAAGTGAATTTATCATTATACAGATACTTAATCTAATCACTGATTATCCTAAATTGCTGTAGGCAAAATACATATTTCAATATCTAAGCAATCAAAGCACATTTTCGAATTGAATTGATTATGATTATCGAATTGTTGCTAGGCCTGCTTTACTATATAATTTTTAATACAGTTTTTCATAAATTCTTAGAAAGTAAATAAATAAGCTTTGGTGTTTAGAAAAAATCAATTATACTCCTTGAAAAAGGAGAAAAAAAAAACTTTAATTAATAATTATTAGAAAAGTTTTTTGAAGGAAAATATATGGGCCTGTTTTAGATTTTTATTGACAAATGTCAGCTTCAACGAATTCTAACTGGATTTTCATTGCTTCTTCAAGCACTTTTTGAATTAAAATTTTTCAAAAAAGATATAAAATAAAATTTTACACCTTAATAATTATAAATTTAAATGATAAATATTATATATGTATATATATAATTAATAATTAAATAACAATTAATTTGCTGATTGGGAATTATTATTTTTTTTTATTTGTTTTTTTCATATTTGCCAATTTACTTTCCGACTGAAGGCAATACGAATTAACTTCGCTTCCGTAAAGTATGCTCGGAAAAGCAATCTAAAAACAGGCCGCAGAATTTTAAATAAATTTTGCAATATAAAGCGCTCAAAAGCATGCTTTAATACGTATTAAAATTTTGCTGCCTACTTTCAGGCATTTTTATATATTAACTACTATGTTATGGATGAAAAAACCAAATAATGAATGCTTGACGTACGATCGTGCATAATAATCATTTGCAGATGCTGCTGCTGATAAGACAGAACGAAAAATCATAAATATTATAATAATTAATACGAGCAACGCCGGGTAATTTCATCTACCAATTAACGTATACCGCCCAGCCGCGGCATTGTCTGGCAAAAAAAAAAAAAACAAGAGGGGGCCCGCCCAAAGGCGCCTAGACATAGAGCACAAACATGGCGGCAATGGCCGCGGCAAAGGATAAAAATGTCGAGGCATACAAAATGGCGCATGTGGTCTCCATCCAGGCGACGAGCGGGCCAACGCTCAGCGAGACAATCAGTTGGGCAATGAAGACCATGCTGCTAATGATGGCCACATCGGTGCCCAGGCCACGTGCCTGCTTCAGCGGCACCGTCTCGCCATTGTGCACGCGGAACTGCAAAACAAAACAACAAATAGAGACAAATAAAGGGAGAGAGAGAGAGAGAGAGAGAGAGAGAGAGAGAGAGAGAGAGAGAGAGAGAGAGAGCGAAAGAGAGTGAGCGACAGAGAGTGAGGTTTAATTACATACACAATTCTTGGCATGATAGTTGGCCACCAGTATGAAGGGCATGGTGAAGAGCGTGCCATAGAGTATGCCCGCCGAGGTGCTGAAAACGAGAACGCCCCACTTGGTCGGCCACAGGCCGAGGATCAGCATGCCAATGCCATAGTATATCATGCCGCTGATATAAACCGCCTTGGTGCTACAAGAGAAACAAGTAGAAACATTAAGCTTCGGTTTGCCGAAGGCTTTAATAACCTCACACATCAGTCAAAACGACCGATTGCCCCTAGATATATATGTATGCAGAATGTAATTATATATTGAGTTGTATAGATTAGATTAGTTAGAATATGTTGCAAATGATGAGTATGGTTCGAGCTCCAAGGAAATGGAAGACATATGATAAATATATTTTTTATGTGCTTTATATTTTATTAATACTGTGAGATCTATTCTAATCCTTGTGTAGGGTTCCAGCCTTCAAGGAGACGGACGACAAATAATAAACGATTTCTTTTTGTATATAAGCTCCAAATTTGATTGATGCTAAGGGATCTGTATAATATACTAATCCCTGCAAATCGAAAATTGAGCAGGAAGTTTACGGTTCAAGCCCCCAAGGAGACGGAAGATAAATAATAAACGTATTTTTGAATAAGAGCTCCATATTTGATCAATACTATGAGATCTATATAATATACTAATCTTTGCATATCATAAACTGAGCAGGAAGTTTTGGGTTTGAGTCCCCAAGGAAACGAAATATAAGTAATAACCTTTCTTTAGTATAAGAGCTCCATATAATGTTCATACTAAGAGATCTATTCTATATAGTATATAGTATATAGTAATCCAATTTTGATGAGGTTCTGCCCCGAGTTTCGATTCATTTGAAAAGTCAAAGAAGCCCTATAATTCCTAGGAGAACCATGAAAGACTCTATATATATTAGATACATAATGAACATCTCTTTTAACCGATTTCTTGACAAGATTTCAATATCCATTCCAATGGCATCCGTGACATGAAACACCCTTTTTTCGTACTTACCCAAACCACTTCATCAACTTGGTCACCGACATGGAGTAAATGGAGCAGGAGAAGGCATAGATGGACATGCCCCAACAGCCGAAGCGCACACCCTCCTCATAAAGCTGCAGCGGCGCCGAGTTGGGCGGCGCCGTGGGATCACCATGAAAGACCGCCTCGCCGACAAAGTCCGTAAAGTACAGGCAATAGGTGACATGACCCATCCAGCAGAAGAGATTGGTGAGTGCCAGCATGCGCATCGAGTGCGGCATTATGAAGATGCTCTTCAGATAGCCACGCAGCGAAATGGGCGAATGATCCTCCACCTGAAGCTCCGCATCGCGCGGATTCACCTTGCGGCTGAGCGCGGGCAAATAGCTGTTCTGATAGCCATTGGCCTTCAGCTCGTTGGCCTTCAGCTCGATGGCCTTCAGCTCGTTGGCCCGCTGCTGGTCCAGGGTGGAGTTCTCCTGTATATAGTAGATGGCATTGTTGTTTTTCTGCAGCTCCTTCTTGATGGCCGCCTCGGACAGTGGACGCAGCATCTCGTCGCGCTCGATCAGCTTGAGCGGAATCTCCCGGAAAGTGGTCACCGTGATGAGATAACAGATCGCAAAGATAATTGTCACCAGGCTAAAGACCGTGGGTATATTGCCGCCCAGAAAGGTGCCAATGTGTGTAGTCTCCCAATCGATGCCGCCAATGGCATAGCCAATGGTGCCGCCAAAGCCCGCGAATAAGGTGAATGTGGTCAGCGCCTTGGGCTGCTCCTCGGGCACGCACATGTCCAGCAAATAGGTGCGCGCCGGCGTCTGGCAAGTGTCCGCATCAAAGTCCAACAGCACCATGCCCAAAATGGTCAGAATCACAGCAAATTTAAAATTGGCAGCCGTTGCGCCGGTCTCCGGTTCGGCGGACAGAAAAGCAGCCACAGCGCTCTCGTTGCCAAAAGTTGGACTCAGTTCGGTGTAATTGTAGCCCACATCGCCCAGCCAGACGCCCAGATCCTTGCCATAGGGCACCAGTATCAGTCCACAGAGTATGCCCAGCGACAGCAGCGAAATGATCGGCCGGCGTCGACCCCAGCGCAGCTGGCAGCGATCGCTGACGCTGCCCAGCAGTGGGGAGACAAAGAAACCAATCAGCGGCGACAGGCCCCAGGCCATGGTCATGTGCTTGTGATCGATGCCAATCTGGAGCAGAATCGGCGACACAAAGCTCGTCTCGGCCGCGTAGGCAAACTCAATGGCCATCGCAATGGCGGACATGCGGTAGAGCTCGAATCGTGTCTTGCGGCGAAAGACATGCGAATAGTCCGCGTCTTGGGCACGTGCATGATTCTCGCGCTGCTTTAGCATGTACTTAATCATGGGATTCTTGGCCGAGGACAATTGTGCGGCCTGCGCTGTATCGGCGGCAACACCAACCATGGCTGAGCACTTGGTCTGAACTGCAGCTAAAAATATAGATATAATTCGTGTTAAGATTGGTCAAGTTCTGTTTATTGAGAGCGAAACGGAAGACATTGAAGCCAATTGAGCGGAATGTGCGTCGCGGCACGTCTAAGCAGCTGTTGGCGAAGATCTGTTATTAATTGAATGGCGTGCAATGTCGCAAGGGGTACACTCAGCGAAAAAACGGACTTAATTCGAGTTTGAACTTTGTGTAAATTTAGACAAGCTCGCAAGTTCTCAGAAACTTTTAATCGAGAGTCTTCAAAATAATTGCACAATCGTTTTTATTTGTTCTTTTTTAATTTAAATTTAATGTTGAATTTGAACCAGCGACCTCTCTCTTGTAGGCACGCAAACTAGGACAATTCTTACTTCCATTTTGATTCTAATTTCCAATTTGAATTCTCAAATTAAGTAAAATTTATAATTAATTTCTGATAACTCAACAAAGAAATGTTCATGGAATTTTACGAACAGGAAAGCATTCCGACCTGAATCTAGCACAGCGCCTTTCTCTCAGTGTAACAGCATTCAATTGATGTGAGGCTATGCCTTAACTCCAGTTCAAAGTTCGAACAGCATTTGATCTGACGGCCACAAATCCGAGCGTAAATATTGAATCAAATGCAAATGCAATTTGAAACTGAAACGTATCACTTATCGCCTGGTTCTTTGTTGTCAGAAATCAGAAATCAGAACTCAAAACCCAACACGTAAACAAAAACAAAGCAAGGCAATTGATTGTAATAAGAATGCAGAACATGATGTGGAATAATATATGAAAGCAACCGCTTTTTAATGGCCTTATTTGTTATCTATTTAATCACTTAGCTTAGAATTTGCATTCGAATAAGATATTTCTATAGAGCGCATTGAGTGCAGACAATAATGCAGCTCAAATATATCACAATTTCCTTTATACGACTCCACAGCCTTAATGAAAGCAAACAGCAAGAGCTAAAGAACTTTATTAATACACAATTATATTATAACAATTCATTAACAGAAAGCATTGCGCTAGTCGCCTCAAAGATACCCTGTAAGCAAGCCTAGATTTTTTAGTTTATTGTTCGATTTTTATGCATTATCAGGCTGGCGAAATTTTAGGAGTTACTGTCAGAATGGCATAGAAAAATTAAATATATAAATAAATAACACAAGAAAAAGCATAATTGAAAATAAAAAATGAATATTGAAAATAATTGTATCTTGTTTTTAAATTGTTTTTTTTTTTTCAAATAAAATATAAAAAAAATTAGTTCTGATTTCATATTTTTTAAAATTAATAATAAAATAAAAAAATTTTTTTAAGTTTAGATCATAAATCTTTATATTTAATTAATTAAAGTTCAAATTCTTTAAAAATCTTATTTTGCAATAAAAAAAACTATATCATAACTTTTTCTTAGGTACGATTTTAGATGTGTTAGACAAAGCTCCTAAAAATGTTATTAGGCAAAAATAAAAAAAAATAAATAAATAAAAAAAATAATAATAACAAAATAAAAACTATAATAGACTTAAAAAAGAAAGTTTCACTAATGTATAACTAGGGCAAATTTGATTGGTTTTTAAAATATTTATGTATGCAAAGTTCTAAATAAATTAGAATTTCTTAATTAAAGACAACTTTGTTATTCTGGAAGTTTCTAAGTTTCTTCGTATGTGTGCATAATCAACACCAGCCAACATTTGTGTACAGGGTATTAGAGTACAACAAAAAAAAAAAAACTGATAATTTATAGTGACGAATTTTGTGATGAACGCCCGCTCATTCCCATTATTGTCCGACACTTTGTGTCAATTCAACAAAGCCGCAGGTCAGGCGGACTGCTCTTATCACGATATCTCCACGATATAAGCTAAATTTATATATATATAATATATATAATTGTGTATATATGTGCCACGTAGACACAGATCAAAGAAATGCGAATCTGTAGCTCGTGTCGCTGTGCTGACTAGGTCAATAATTTGTCTTAATATATGCGCGAGAAATAATCAGACTGAATGCTAATCAGTTTTGCTGTTGCTGACATTAATTAGCGGCTGGTATTAGGAAGTAAGATTGTTTTTTTTTTTTGCTTTTTTTTGTTTTTCAATTTCAGTTGTAAAAGCTAATAATTTGATGGCTTTAGGTTCCGATCTTAAAATAATTAACATATTTGGCCATAAAACTGCGCACACAACAATACACAATTTCACACGTATTTAATTTAATGATGCGTTTCAATTCAACTGTTGTTGGGCTTTTGTTAATTAAGATGATCATTTAAGAGCTGCGCTTCACTATAATGAGATGCCGCTGAGAGAATTCGATTGTGTATTGGACAGGATGTAACATATATGCATATTAATTAGAGGAAAAAAACCATTCTTTACGACCTAATCGTAGCTAAACACGAAGTCGCGTTTTGCCAAAGACAATATAGATATACTAAAAAATTCTATAAATATTTATATTGTCTTTGGCTTTACACATAATTAACTATTTTCCACTTACCTCTGAGAAAGTTTATCTATATATAATATAATTTTTTAATTGATTTTCCTTTTAGTTGGTTAAGTTTCTTTTTTTTTGGTTGAAATGTTCACTTGAATTTTCACTCACTTTCCGATTTAAGGTTTAGCGTCAATAATTGAAAATGCGATAAAGTTTTTCTCTTGCACAGATTGTTGTGCAGAAAATAGATTTCGATTTTCTTAAGTTTTAATTGTTTTTTCGTTTGTTGCTTCGAGCGAGCGTGGGCGTGGCACTTTCGTTTGGGCGGCGGCAGTGAATTTGCTATCATAACTTTACCCATCCAATCGATATAACACTTGTTTATAATCACAAAATAATAATTTATTTCTCTGCCCGCTCGTGGTCTTTAGTTGAATGTTTTATGCTATCTTTTTCTTTTCGTTTTTAAAATTGTTTTTATTGTTTTTTTTTGGCTCTTGTTAAAGTGCTGACATTGACGCTGGTCGATCGTTGGAAATGTTTACAACATTGGGCTGAATGCTGGCGACTTTTTGGCAAGACATGAAAATTGCTTTCGTTACGCTTAAATAGACCAAAAATAAAAGTCACCAAAAGCAAACGCACAAAAATTTAATACATATAAATATTATAGATATATTTATATATGTATACATGTATATCTATAGAGGCTCGCTTATTCTTCTACTTGAATTGACGTTATTTTTGGCCTCCTCCACTGTCGTTCGGTATTTGCGACGATCTGGAGCTGATCTCCTCTGCCCTGCGACTGCTTGACTGAAGCGTCGGCTGCTAGACGCACGTATTTATACACAGCATGCAACATACGCACTCGCTCAATTATGGAGCGTGCACTGAGCGAAAAAGTCTGCCGCATACGTTCGACATAATATAATATAATAAATCAATTATTTATATCAAAGTGTGCAGCTACGTTTTGTTTGTAATACTGATAACATTTATAAACGAAATTAAACACCTTTATTCTCCACATCGAAAATCGAATACCCTTTTGAGGGCAGAATTGTGAGGTTCTCTGTTGGTGAGTAGTTAATTCAAATATCTTGAAGAACAAAAAAGAACTATATCAATTAATAGTTCGATGTTGAAGAGAGTTGGCTCATGTGTTAGAAGTAGGATCGTAGTCATGGTAAAACAAGATAAAATGCCAGGTTGAAAAAAAGGTTTTCCTCTAAGAACTGAATTGTGGAGCGATCATTCCGGTATGATATAGTGATCCGATCTGATCCGGCTCTCTATATACTATAAACGGGAGGATGAAGCTTTGCAAAGTTTCATGAATATAGCCTTAAGGCTGAGAGATAAGTTTGCATGAAGCAACTCACACAAATCAGGAATATATACAGATCAGAAATATCTATACTTTATCGGCTCGAAGATCTCTCCAGCGATGCCTAAAACATTTCATCAGTAAATTTTAAAACCCTTTTTCAAGGGCAAACAAATTTTGTTACTAAATAGATGACTTTTTTTCGCAGTGTAGCAGCTGCTCATTTTTGCAAATCTTCCGCTGTGTCTCACTTTATCTCTCCCTCGCTCTCTTCTCGTGTGTTCGCTCTGAGCATCGCATGCCTTATCGACAGAAGGGTGCGGGGCTTTCTTTTATCTGTTTTATGCTCATATTGCTTGCTGGGTTTCTTTTGCCCAATGCCCTAACGTAACGTACTTCAACTATTTCATTGACTGTGTAACATTTTGAGGCATAGAAGAATTGCTTGAGCTTTGAATTCACATATTCCCATATTCTAGACTCACAAAGCAACATTGATTATTAGATATATAATATAATTTTTTTTTTTCTTCACACTGTATCTATATATCTATATATACTATATCTGGGTTGAGTTAACCGTAGCTTATCGTAAACAGCAAATGTGGCTGTCATATTTAAATGTTTTTTTTTTTTGCATGTTTATAATAGACGGGCTTAAATTCCTTATAATTTTTTTTAGCTAATATTGTGATTGAAACAAATAGACATTAAATAAAATCAAGATAAGTATATGCATACAAAATACATATATATATATAGATATATTCTCAGGTATTTATAAACTTAACTTTTCATATTCATAATTCTGTTTGTTTTGATATCTTAAATGGTTGTTGCCTTTGCCTACGTCTGTTGTAATTGGCGACTAAAGTGTGATTTACAAAATATGAGTAACTAAAAAACGTGATCGTGATAAATCTACGAATTCAATAAAAACAGCTTTAATTGAGCTATAAAATTTATATACTGTCAAATAATTCCAAACGCTAATTATATATATATTTATCATGGAGGCAATTCTAATGATAGGCATCTCTGCAAGGGCATTTAATCTTCGGTATAACCAGAATGTTCGTTGCCTATTTGTAATGCACTTTGGTTTAATTTACCCATTTCATGCCAATCACAGTGCTTAGCCCGCAAAGTGCAACCTCTGACACATTTCATTTTTCTAATTATAACAAATGCAGTTAGAACCCAAATGTAAGTACTTAGCTGGAGTATTTAAACATCGCGCATCTTGCACATAATTCAAATGACAGCCTAAATCGTAGCGTACCATTTAGCGATTGACTACTGTGGCAAGTCTTTTGCAATCAAATGTAGAGCATTTCATCAGCTCTCGGCTTCAAAGCACTGCACAAAATTCTTGTATTTTTATACCCTCAACCGATCTAAAGTGGGGTATAAAGGGGTTTATATGTGTTGTGCAAATTTATGTAACGGACGGAAGGATTTTGTGAGAGGTTTCTTAAGCATAACTCGATGATTGTAATATCTAGATGTGTGTAGGTCATTGAATAGTATCCACATTTTCAGAATACCTTCCCCCATACCGTGTAAAATTGATATAAATTTAAGGTGAGGCCTTTTATCTTGGCATAAACAATCATTCTAGTGCCATATTTAAGCCCTGCAAATAGCATCAAAATCGGCCCCTTAATACCAAAGTTATATAAGAAAGTATTGATCAAAAATGATGTAAAGCAAACATTAGATAAGGGAAGTTTAGGGTATCTCCGAGTCGGGCAATCCCGACCAGAGCACTCTTACCTGTTTGCGTTTAGCCTGTCCAGAAACTACTATTCAAGGAACATGAACAGAAACTAGTTTTGGCGCTGGAACAGGCTGAAGGCCAAGCAAGCATGCTAAATTGACATCCAGTACAGCTGTTGCTTTATCTCGCTTTGGCCACACTGATACTCGTGGAAAAATGCTAGGAAAATGCCCAAAACTGTTTGGGAAATTCCATTCAAGTGTCTTTCTTTCAATTTATGTTTACGCGCAAATATTTTCGTCGGACGCTTATCTCTGCACGCGAAAGTGAAGGTTATTTTTAAGTGTTAATAAATTTCTAGTCGCCAGTAAATATCTAACCAAATAAATCTAAGTTTGAAAACATCGTCTTGTGCTTTAAATTTCCCAATTCAGTTCTAAATTTTAGGCGTTTTAACCTATTTAAAATGGGTAAATAGGGTATACTATTTTTGGGCAATTAATGTAACAGGCAGAAGGAAGCATCTCTGACCCCATAAAGTAGATATATTCTTGATGAACATTAGAGGACGAGTTGACCTAGGCATATCCGCCTGTCTATCCGTCTGTCCGTCCGTCCGGATGTACATATGAACGCGTCGATCATAAGACTATAAGTGCTAGACTCTTGAACGAAGGTCATCCTAGCACAGTACGAGTAAGTTTCCGATAGTTTCGATAACTTGCCCCTCTTCCAAGAAATCGATAAAATATCGATATAAAAATCCTGTTTTTTTTGAGAAAATATCTTTAAGAGCTAGAGTCACCAAACATGCGCTAACAGAGCTTTTAGAATCCTTCTAGAATGTTATTCACAGATCAAGTATCTTTTATTTTTTAGTTATCGCCACACTCTTCTCCTTAGCACGGAGCTGCTTTCGAAGTTCGTAGGAGAAGGTTCAGGGTATCCCCTGGCCGAACACTCCCGACTAGAGTATTCCAGTTTTATATTAACCTTTTAATATAAATTTAACTCTATATACATTGAATGGTGTGTAAGGCCAAGCCGTAAAATAATTTCTAAGAAACTTTCCTTTGGGGTCAAAGATGGGCCTTTGGATTATTAACACTATTCATTCATTCTCCCTATTTAAATATATAAAACTCGTATTTTAATAAAAGAATTAGTTTATTGCTTACTTGCAACTTTTTTAATGAGTTGCCTAAAATGCAAAATCGCTGCCAGAATCGAACAGTTAAACAGCTGTCTAAATAACTGCACATATATTTATACACATATATATATATAAAAACATATTCTAGTCTTGGACTCTTCCTAAATATTTGTATATACTGGGATTTAATAGAATTAACATGAAGCAGCTTGTTTGGAACATGTTCGCACAAACAATTAGCACAAATTTGCGACTTTTGGCATCAGCAGAGATACGTATCGATGTGGTAAGGAAATAAAAATAATAAAAAAAAAAAGCGGCAAAATTATGTAAAGACTGCGGTCTTCAGCCCACAACGATATGTGCCAAGTCATTGACTTGTCTCGACACACTCTCGCTCTCATTGGGCCCAAAGCCGCGCTCATGAAGGGGGTGTACATGTTTGTTGGACATCCGAACGAGAATCCAAAAAAACCGGTAATCGAGCCAAACAAACTGACATTTTCAGCATACAATTTGCGACCGACTGCAAAATCGACGATGACATTCTTATCGCCGCAGTGCATACATATAGTCATATCATATGATATGACATACAATGTGGGCCGGTTATCTCTCAGCGTCAGAGCCTGATAGCCGAACGGCTTTATCGCCACAAATCTCGGCCGTTTGTGTGGACAGATTTATTTCTAATTATCAACAATGCACAAATCTCTTCAATAAACCCAAAGCTGATTTATGAATGCATTTAAAACAAGTCGCTTCAAATAATTGTAAAATAATCGTAAAATAATGTTAACATAATGTTAAAGTTAGCATAGATCGCTTCACGATTCATGTTAACGCTGTGCCAACACAAAGCTCGCTGCTATGAGACTCACTGTAGGCTACTCGGTTTCTTCTGGCGCTGCTTTTTATGAAGCCCAAAAATATGCTGCAAGTACTGTGTTTTATTCTTGGTTAAAACCAATTTTCACATTTCGTGGAGAGAGAGAGAGAGAGGGAGAGAGGGGACTAGATCTAGATCTAGAGAGAGGGGACTAGAACTTTTTACAGGAGCTTCCCTTGGTCAAACTTTTTTAGAGCCTGCGTGACTTATGTGTCGGAGCGTTGAGCAAACAAGAGCTGCTCGCTGGTTCAAATTCATCAGCAATTGTCAATTTCTATATTTGTTTATTTAATTTAAAGAACCACATATTTGTTATCAACAATTAACCCTAAAAAGTCAAGTCTAGGCATTAAAGCTACGTTTAATTTACACTTAAACAGGTCACTTTAGATAAAAGTATAAGTAAAGGTAAAAGTTTTTTAGTTTTGCATATACACCACTTTTTAGTCGAACCGCACGACGCCTGGCTATTTGTTCTTCAAGCAAAAATCTAGTTCTGCATAGTTCAAATGCCGTGTCATATTCAAGAACTTTGCCTTTCGTCAGTGTCTGCAGAATTGTCTGCGGTGACATTTATTTGGTTTTTCAATCTGTTTTCCACATTTTACACACACTTTGCACATTGTTGTTGTGTGTGTGTGTTGTTGTTGCTGTTGTGTGTCCATCCAGCCATCTTCATTTGCCAGTTTTGTTTGCGGCAGTTGAAA